AAGAACTACAGATGAAAACACTTTCTGCAAGAAGGGTGCCGCGTTTGTTAACAGTCGATCAAAAACATCTCTCAAACTAGTTTGGATCCAAACAATGGACTGATGCTGGAGGAAGTGGCCCAAAGAAGGCAAAAACAATTCAATCGGCTGGTAAGATTATGTCAACGGTTTTTGGGACTTCAAAGGTGTTTTATTCACTGACTATCTACAAAGGGTTAAACAATCAATACAGTTAAACAATCAATACAGAGTACTATTGCGACCTTTTGGATCAATTAAATGTACAAATTCGAGAAAAACGTCTTGACATAAAAAACAAGTGAAAAAGAGTTAAGTTCGGCCGGGCCGAACTTTGGATACCCTCCACCATAGATATACTGACAGGTACTAGAAATGAAACTATAAGGAACATACCAAAAAGTGGACCTATACCGACGATTTCTAAACACGGATTATCAGAATTTTTTAATGGATAATTTATATGGATAATTATTAATGAGGGTATGTACACTTTAACACGGACAGACGGACATGCTTAGATCGTCATAGAATTTTACGCTGATCAAGAATATATACTTTATAGGTCCATACTATGGTGGAGGGTATAAAAAAGGGGGTTATATGGGGACTACCCCTAAAAAGGGGTGAATATTAATAATTTTTGGTGGGGAGATTTGTTACCATATACGACTACAAAATACCAAATTTCAGCGAATTCCGTTGAAAAAGGCGCTCAATAACCTTTATATGGGTATAATTTTTTGTGGAGAGATTTGCTACCCAATAAGAACTCAAATTACTAAATTACAGCCAATTCGGTGAAAAAATTCGTTCAAAACCCCCTAAAAAATGGAAATTGGGAGGTAGTATTATATGAGTGCTACCACAAAAAGCGGATCTATATTTATAATTTTTAGTGGGGAAATTTGGTACCCAATAACAACCCAATGTATCAAATTTCAGCGAATTCTTTTAAAAAACGCGCTCAAGATCCTCAAAATATCGAAAATTGGGGGGTTCCCTTATATGGGGGCTACCCGAAAATAATGACCTATATTTATAATTTTTTGTGGAGAGATTTGCTACCCAATAAGAACTAAAATTACTAAATTACAGCCAATTCGGTGAAAAAATCCGGTCAAAACCCCCAAAAACTGAAAATTGGGAGGTACCCTTATATGGGGGCTACCACAAAAAGTGGATCTATATTTATAATTTTTAGTGGGAAAATTTGGTATCCAATAAGAACCTAATGTATCAAATTTAGCACATTCGGTTGAAAACCGCGCTCAAGAACCCTAAAATACCGAAAATTGCGGCGTACTCTTATATGGGAGCTATGCCTAAACGTGGACCGATATAGCCCATCTTCGAACTTGACCTGCCTGCAGACAAAAGACTCTTTGCACAATTTTAGCATTCTATCTCAATTCGGTTAGATGCTAGAGTGATTACAACATACAGACTGACATGTTTAGATCGTCATTGAATTTTACGCTGATAGAGACCAGAAATTATCGTTTGTCCATATGGTAATAGAAGCAACTCATAATAAATATTCACCTTCCACCAAATGTATAGCAGAACCGTTCTGGCCATTAGTCCTGGTTTGGCCACCCTTTAAGGTGCTTCACCGCTCTTTGACCAAGATCGTTTTCGCACAGGATTATCGTATGTGATTCATTTCCCATCTTCAGTCACTATCCGTTTAAGAAATGGATCTATCTCATTCCGTTTGACCAAGGCTTCGCAGATGGAAAATAAATGGTTTAAAAATGTTTTATGGTCGATTTTTAGCTCTTGTGAGATGTTACGACTGCTAACATGCCGGTCAACTTCAATAATATCTCCGATCATTCCGACGACTGTACTTCTTTTTCCCCAACCTTATATATACTTTATAAGGTCTTAGTTTAAGGGAACCCACCCATTCTCGATTTTAATTTTTCAATATTTTCAATGGGCTGATAAATCAATACCAACGCTTGTTAAGGTGTGTAGCTTTGCACATATATATTTGAAGATTTAAAAGAGAAGTAAAATAATTTACAAAAAAAGTTTGTTATTGTTTTTTGTAATTAAAAAAAGTCCTTATTTTTGATGTCGGGCATGATAACTCCTCACTGGAACATCGGAATCCGAAAATTCCAACGGTGTTAGAAAGAGTACATCATGTCGTATCGTATGATCTAGGATTATTGACTTCGCTCTAAAATTAACAAAATGTCGGACATTTGAAAAAAATTATTTGGAAAATCGCCGATTTTTGACCAAACAGCAAGTTAAAAATAAGGAAGATCTTCACCGATTGGCTTTATCCTAGTTCATACGATAGCTACATACTCGCAGAGAAACGTGTAAAAATTTGAAATCGATTGGGTTATTAGTTTTTGAATTATCGTGCCCGCCATTCGCAAAACCAATGTTTAGAGAAAAACGCGTTTAAAATTTGAGAAGCCCTTCAGCCGTCACTTGATGCTGACACAATAAATCGACTATATCTTCAAGAGTTCTTGAAATTTTTACTTAAAATCTTGTAGGGACATTCTTGAATTAGTGTAGATTTGAATTAAATTAACAACAATTTTAACCCAGAGAATGGAGGGGGTCCCCTTAATACAGCCCTTATATGAGGGCTGTGTCAAAACAGGAGCTTTCATTGACAAGTTGAATCCAGAAAATGGAAATTAAAACATCAACATGAGATATACGAGTCCTTGAAACCTCAAACGGAAAAAGTGATTAAAACCTCCCGTGATGAATTTTTGGCGGGAACTCTAAAGCTCATGACAAAAAAAAAAAAAAAAAAAAAAAACTGTACATAATATTTCTTTAGTTATTATTTGGGATGACAAGTTTGTTCAACGCATCCTCCTTCTATGTCAAGTGCTTGTCATCTTTATTGTCTTTATTTTATTGAACCGAAAGAAATCGATATTCGTATGTGTCCATCGTCATTTTCCACTTTTACCCAACCATTGCTCAGGAAACCTTCTATTTACGAATACTAATAAATTTCGAATAAAATTTATATTATAAACAACTGTCTGATTCGTATGAGAAATTTACCATACATAGAACATATTAAGAGACAAATCCGGATCCCTAGAATTTTTAACCGAATTTTCGTATAATAGAACCAAATTTGGTACCAGCTTTAACCCACTGTTTAAACTTAACTTCACATCATTTGAAAGCTAAAATCACATGAAATAAATCTTTTTGCACAGCCATACATATAACACTGATCATAGATACATTTTTAAATAAAAGGGTTGTTATTTGAAATTATAAGATTTTAATGGGTGAAACCTACTCATAATCAATCAGCAATATATGTTCACGATACAAATTCACATGACAAATTTATGCTGCATTCTACTCAGGATTTCCAGGGATTAAAATTCGTCTTGGTACGGTGAAGTTAACATTAAAGATGATTTTAGTTCGATTACAGTCTTTACTATAGAATGATATCTTCAGGATTCCAATTGGGTATACTTCGGTATATTTTTTCTAAATGTGAATTAAAGAAAAAACACAAAATAAATATAAAACTAAACATCAAATCACTTTCTATTAGAAAAAAAAAAACAACAAGCAACTAAAACTGCAAAATAGATGAGCGGTAAATATAAAAATCTGATCTGATCATACATATGGGCAGATGAACGGACGGACATAAAACTCAGTACATCTGCAACTGAAGAAAAAATAAAAAATTAAAAAAAAACAATTAGAGAACCTACAAAATAAATAAACCAAAGGAAAAATATAATAATAAAAAAACAACAAACTATAAGGAAAAATATATAACAACAACAAAAACAATGCAGTTAAGGAACACATGTAAATTTAGTTTTTTTTTTACACAAAAAAAAAAGAAAAAAAATTGGGAGTATGACATGAAAAGGAAAATCCATAAACATGTACAGGCTAAACGTTTACAGTACAAGAACACAAGATGGGTTGCTGCTGCAGCTCCCAGTGACTGCATTATTGCTAAAGTGACAGTGACAACAGTCAACGGCCCTATTGCATTGGGAATGGTGTTTACCTTATGTTTCATGAGATCTTCTATAGTGGCAAGGAAACTAGATGCATGTGAGAATGTGTGCGTGTGTGTGCATTAGTGCGTGTTGTTGGTGTCAACATAGCTGCGAGACCGTCCCGCCACCTTCTTTCTGTAGCACATAAACACACGCTGATCGTACTGCTGCTGCGGCTAACTGTTGATCGAGGCGTGACAGAGCTATATTCCGACCGGGCATGAGTGTCACAAGTGGAAACATAAGGCCTGCAACTAAACTCTGCAGTGCCTCTGCCAACTGCTCTGCTTGCGCTGGCCGAGCAATGGAAGATCCTTAGACGTGTCTTTAAATAATGAACATCTTATAGTTTAATGGTTTATTCTAAAACGAAACGTGGTGCGATCAAGATCATCAGACAACAAAAAATAAAAACTGACAACATCACAGATTTGAAAAAAAGGAAAAATTCGTAAAAGAAAAAAAGATGTGAAAAATTGTTTCTTTGGCTCGCAAGTGATTTGAATTTCGAAACACCCGTTCGTTCGTTCGTGTGGCGGCGATTCGCTAGACAAAAAAGTTTGCCTTTTTTGTTGTTTTTGTGCTAATACTAACGTGTGGGGTTTTCCCAAGAAAATTGTCAACGCAATCAAAGGAAATAAAAAACAACAACAAAAACTTGGCAAATGTGCCAAAAACAATACGAAATTTTCACACACACGTACACACACCTCAACCAAGTGAAAAGTGAGCAAAAAAATTTTATTTAATTTCAAAGTGTGACCAAATGACATTAAACGCGTGGTTGTGAAAACTAGAAAATTTTTGTTGATTAATTAAAAAAATAAAATAAAAAATCAGGACAGTGTTCCGCAAAAAATTATGAAGTAATTTTTTTAATAAACAAATTTCCCCACAAAAATCATGTCTTCCTCTTTAAAAATTAATACTCCAAATCTAAGCATTCCCACGATGAAATCATTGAAAATGTTCCATGATATTGCAACACCAGCCACTCCACCCTATACCCCAGGTCCATTGTGTGGTGGCGCCCAATCATCATCAGCCACAGCAAAGGATACCAGTAACTACAACCAAATGATGTCCACCAATTCCATGAACTGTAATCTTATGTCACCACCCTTGAGTGCGGCCAAAAGCCAGGATCATTTCCGCGGCTCCATGTGCAACCTGAAAGCTTTCAACAGTGGTTGCAACTACAGTGATTTTTCCACGGCCGATGTCCATTTCCCTGATTTTTCACAATTATCCTTTTCCAATGCTGAGACACCAACTTCGATTTATGGCAGTAGTTGTGGTACGGGAAATGGTCTACAATTTGAGGGTAATAACTCGGCAAATTATGATGATGGTGAACAATTAAAAAGGCATTCCATGGGTAGTTGTTATGAGGAGGAAGTGAAATATGAATCTCCAAGTGGCGGTATGATGGTGCATACGCCGCATTCCAGTTTTAATCGTGAAGATGTATTTCGTTTTGAGCCGGAGGATATTGCCCGGCTCACGGAGAATTGTCAATTCGAAGAGTCCTTCGGTGAAGGAAATGCCCTAATGATGGTGCCTCCTCCCACTCCCTTTACACCACAGACACCCTATACACCATATCCTGCCACCTATATGTCCTTTACACCCAGTACAAGTCACAACACCCAACAACAAATGCAGCAGCAGATGGATTATCATCAACAACAGGCTCTCTATCAACAAGGACCCCAAACCTCGGCTCAAGCCCTGGCTCAGGCTCAACAACAACAGCATCAAATTGCCGATTGTCAGGCCTACAACCTAGACATTGAATATTACAATTACGATGAAATCAATTGCCAGTCAAAAGAACAAAGCCCCTGTTCCTCCCCACCCTTGGACCCCTGGATGTCATTGAATCTCAGTGAAAATCCTGCACAGCCACCAAGACAAGAATCTCCCAAAATTATCAACACCAGTTATGAAACCTCCTATACACCTTCCTATGAGCCCAGCATTAAGCAAGAAAATTCCACCACAAAATTGCCATCCATGATGTCCACCTTTGGAACACCCAAATATGAACCCCTCAACAGTTTCACCTACAATGAATATGAAATGTCCCAGCAGAGATCCAGCCATGTCTACAGTCCACCAACTCACAACAATTCCAATAGTAACTACACTCCCTCATCGGGATATAATAATTTCAATGCCCTCACAGAAGATTTTGAAAATTGTAATATGTTAAATTTGGAAAAGCCACATCGGGATCATAAGGTCATCTGGACCATCGATGAATTGGATGAAATAAATGATTTCGCCAATCCACCACAAATGATGAGCACAAATCAATATGACAGCAGTTACTTTAATCAAAGTACCGAACGTACCGATGAGGAAGAGGAATTGGAGCACTATGGTGATTTGTTGGAACATGCTGTTGGTGTCGAGGAGGAAGAAGATGTTTTCTCTGCACCCCTGGAAGATAATGATGAAGTATTTTTGTTGGAGAAGCCTAAGGCCACCAAACAAAGACGTAAACGTTCGAATAATTGCCGTAGTTCAGCATCTGCCAGTAATCAAGTGCTTGAAGGTGGGGCTGAAGAATTATTACCCGAATTTATCCAAGGACCCATGGTATGTTTGTGGACCGATTGCAATGAAGAATTCCCCAACCAGGCCGAATTTGTTTGTCACATTGAAAAGAAACATGTTGACGTGAAACGTGGTGAAGATTTCTCATGCTTTTGGGTCGATTGCCCTAGACGCTATAAGCCTTTTAATGCTCGTTATAAGCTGCTGATACATATGCGTGTGCACAGTGGCGAGAAACCGAATAAGTGTCCGGTAAGTGGGATTTAAATATTATTTTCTCTTATGATTTAAAAAAAAAAAATTAAATGGAATAAAAATTGGGGTGTTGACGTAAAAAATTTTTATATGAAAAAGGGACAATTTTATTGCATATTTTTAGGGGTAATAATATGAAATAATTTCCTTAAAAAATTTATTTTTTATTTATTTATTATTTTTTTTTTTTTTGAAAGCAAAAATTTTATTTTAATTAAATGAGTTATAACATATAAACATATCTAAACCTAACACCATGATTACACAAATGTATCTTCTTTTGCTTAAAAATGAATTAATCACTAGTGTAGCTTGCGTCCACGCCTTCAATACTAAACAAATATTAAATTTCATTTGTATTTCATTTCCATTCTAATTGCGAGTTTTCATTTAAAAATTGCAATTTTCTATATCTGTTGTTCAATTTGTTTGTCACAATGTTATTTAATTTGTTTTTTCTCTCTGCCAAATTTAATAATTCAATAGAAAAGTAAATTTCATAAAAACCCTAAATGGTAAATAGGTCAAGCTGCTGCCACATGAAAATTAAAAAAATATTTGTTTTAACAATATAGTTTTGAAATAGTTTTAATTAATTTCAAAACAGTGGCCATTTGAATGGGTTTGTTTAAATACAAATTGACTGTCAAAAAGTAGGCAATCGAATTCAATGGTATAGGTTAGATGTGTAGATAAAAGGGACACCCAAAAAGTAGGCAACAGTATAGGTTAGGAGTAAACATAAAGAAGACACCAAACAAGTAGGCAATAGTTTTGTATGCCAGTGATTAGAAGGGAAAATCAATGTAAATATCATTTTTTTAGTTACGAAATGAATATAAAACTATGACTTTGTTTAAAAATACCGAGAAATGTGATATTAAAAATATTATATGGACATTTTTGTTGCAATAAATTTTACATATTTTTTATTTTTATCATTCACTTATTTATTCTAAATGCCTATTTAACAGTTTTAATTTGCAAAATATTTTAGATATTTTTTATTTTTATCATTCACTTATTTATGCTAAATATCTATTTCACAGTTTCAATTTAATTCATTATTTTTTAAATGCTGAATGAATTAATAAAAATAAATTTACTTTTCCTGCATATATTGATTATATATTTTCCCATAATTTAATTCCTAAAAACCTCCTACCTTTTTTGTTTATTTGTGACTTTTACTGGGAATACAAATTTAAAAATCTACTGGAAAATAAAACACTCAATAAAGCATTTTTTATTTTTTAGTTGTCCTTGCCGTCAATAGAAATTCAATCTGTTATATTTCAACTAAATTTGCAATCAGTTCTTTTTTGTTCAAATTTTTTCCTATTCATAAATATATATCACAAAAATGGACCATTATTTGTAAATAGTTTTTTTTTGCTTTTTCGATTTACAAATTCATCAAATTTCGTTGGCATTTTTCATGATGCTGTTGATGATGATGGCGTTGTTGATATTGATGTGAAATGAAATCTATCAATTTTAATTAAAGTATATATACACAAAAAAATTTATACAAAAAAATGGACATAAACATATGCCCATAAATATATATGTAATCACTTGTTTTCACTTAACAAAAAAAAGACATACAACAAAAAATGTGGTATATATTTTTATATATATGACATTTAATAAACATAAACGTAATCATTTTTCGCCATTTAACTAAAAGCTGAATAATTGAATATGAACACTATCGCCTGTCTGTCTGCCTCTCTCTTTCTCTCTATTCAATATTATAGTTTTTTATTACACGATTGAGTTGCAGTCACTGTTGTTGGTTTATAAATCTTATTTTATGTTCAAACTGAAAAATCAAATTTATTTCATACAAATAAATCGGCTTTATATTTTACAAAACATACAAAGAACATGATTCGGTTTTGTAAAAAAATAAACTGAAATTGCCTGCATTGTAGGGCATAACAAAAACTTCAATAGTGCAGAATACAGATTGATAAAATACAAAAAAATAAAATGAAAAATATTTATGAAATCAAAATAAAACCAAATTTGTTAAAGGGATTTCTCTGTTCATTTATTGCAAGCAAAATAAAATTATACTGATTACATATATAACTCCTAAAAGTATACAACAAGTTTATATCTCAAAAGACTCCCTGATGTATGCAACAGTTAACAAACAAATTAAAAAAATATTCAATGAAATATCTTCTGAAATTGAAAATTAAAAGAAACCATGCTCTACGATATTAGGATGTAATTTACAGCAACAAATAAAAGAAAAATTTAGTCACTTTTCTATATAGGACTCCTAAAAATATGCAAAAAATTTATCAAATCAAATATCTTTTAAAATAGGACATATTAATGGATTTTCATGAAAATTATTTATCTAGTATTTTAGCAAATTATAATTCATTCATAAAAACCACAATGGTGTAAAAAATTATAAATGTGACCCCTGAAAATTTGCAATAATTTACTTAACTTAAATATCCCTTGAAATAGGCACAAATTGTATTTCATAATATTTAAGTTCAGAAATAAAAATAAAATAATAAAATAAATATCATGCTAAGTATCCATTGAACCAATTTTCTGTTTCATTTCATATTTTCGTTTATTTATATTTCTAATGTTTTATTAAAATTTTGTATTATTTTTTGCAGTTCCCTGGTTGCAACAAGGCCTTCTCTCGTTTGGAAAATTTGAAAATCCATCAACGTTCCCATACTGGTGAACGTCCATATGGCTGTCAATACAAAGGTTGCTTGAAGGCTTTTAGCAATAGCTCCGATCGGGCTAAACATCAAAGGACTCATTATGATACGGTAAGTTGACAATTTTATTTGCAAAAATTATTTGCAAAAAAATTCCTGCAAAAACAATTCTTAAAAATCGAAAATTAATATTGTAAATTACCAAATCAGAAATATTCCGTTCAAAATTGCCTCAATAATTCGCCGAAAATATTAATTTACAAACATTCAGTTTTTCGGGATTTGTTCCTAAATAATTATGAATTAATTCCCCAATACTTATGAATTAGTTCCTTAATTGTTATGAATTAATTCCATAATTTCGATGAACTTATTCGTAAATAGTTACGAATCCGTTCCTAACTTCTTGTATATTAATTCCTAAATTATTGTGAATTATTTCCTAAATTGTCATGAATTTATTTCTTCATTTTTATTCCAAAATTCTTAAATATTAATGTTTTTTTTCTATTTTTTATGAAATTGTTCATCCATTTTATGAATTTATTACATTTTTTACTTAATTTCCAAATATAAAAAAAAATTAAAAATATCCATATAAAAGTATGTCATGAATTTATTTCTTCATTTTTATTCCCAAATTCGTAAATTCAATGATTTGTTTCCTATTTTAACGAAATCGTTCTTCCATTTTATGAATTTATCCCATTTTTTTCTAAATTAATTTCCAAATATTTTATGAATTCGACTATTAATAATTATTTCAATTGCAATTTCAATGCAATTTTAATGAAAATCCTTTCTCCCAAATTTACCCTATCCTTCTTGCCCTTTCGTGTTATCACATTGTGCAAAACTATCTCCCCAAAAATGTTATGTTGCATATTTTGATCCCAGCTCCGAGTGTGTGACATGTTTCTTTACGTACATGTCACATACATAGATATCTACTTGCTTCACATGTTCCATGAATGAATTGAAACCGAAAACATTTGTATGAATATTTCCAACTAAACAATGTTCCCAAAAAAAAAACACGACGATACACAATCTCATACACAAATATGAGTTGTGAGTGATTTATTATTGCATATGTGGCGAAAAACATAACGATACTTTTGGTGTCCTTGCATAGTGAAGGACATGCCAGCCAGGCTAGCCAACTGAAAGTGGTAACAGTGCATACATACACATATCTTGTTGCAATGCAACATATTGTTGTGAGAGATTTCAATTGTTAGCAAAGCAGCAGCAAACGATTGATATTCACAAATCAGAAAATGTGAATTTGGGATAAGGGAAAAGGGAAAAGGGGGGAAATTGTGGAGAATATGTGAGAGGGACTTAGAGATGTAGCGTACTTAGTTTTGGTAATGTTTTAAAATCCATAAAGTATCCCGAAAGTGATGTTGGTGGCTAATGTGGTTATGGAAGCTACTTCGTAGTACATGTGTATGTGAGAGTTATTAGGGGGGCCCATTGGTAATAATACACTGAGAGAAAAAAATTTTGAAAAATTGAATTCTTATTTAAAAAAGAAAATAGAAGAAAATTCTATATTCTATTCCAGATTTTAATTATACTCGAATATTGATTGAAAAAATATATTTTTCTAGTGTAGAACCTTTTCATATGTATCAGAAAATTTAAAAATTTCTTTCAGTGTAAATTTATTTAATAATTTAGTGTATGATTTGTCGACTCCATCTTCTCGCTGTTATTCATACCATGTATTATTATTATTTTGCTCTCGAAGTTTTTTTCCGGCAATAATTATTAAAATTCAATTTTTTTCTCTCAGTGTATTATTCCTTTATAAGGCTTCCTTTTCCTAATTCATGGCCACCACCCGAAAATAAGCCTCATCATGGTTTATATAGCCTTTTATGAACATTCTGCTAACATTTGACATTTATAAAGCGCTTGATGCGGCATTTCATAGCGATTAGGTTAGACGCACAAACACACGCACACAAATATCACTGTTACCATAACAAGGCCAGAGATAGGTTAGATGACAATTTAATGGGCCTTTTGGGTTGTGATTTTTCAGTTGATAGCTACTGCACGTGTTGTCAAAATCTAAATGAACATGAATTGCGATTTTGATACAGAAAAAATATATTTGAAATTATCGGGAGGAGATACTTAAATAAAAAGAAATTAACTTAAAAATATTAAAACTAATTTCAAATTCTAGCTTTGATTGCCCTTAATTTTTAAAATTTTAGAAATCCTTCAAAAAACATAATTGAAAAATTTTCCCAAAATTATAAAATGACCCCTGTAATTCATAAAATATTTCTTAAAAAAATATATTTTAAAATTCCACATTTATACCCTTCAGACAAATATTTAAGAAATCCTTAAGAATTTGTTTAAGGATCCTTAAAAATAATTTAAAAAAAATCAGAAAAAATATTCTTTCCCAATTTACATTTATATGCCTGTTAGTTCTTCGAAAATATTCTTTAAAAAATTGGGCCTATACCCCTGTTAGTCCCTTAAAAAAAGTCGTTAAAAAAATCCACGCTTACGCCTCCATTGGTCCTTTTAATTTTTGTTTATTTTATATATTTTTTATTTTAATTTTATTAATAATTTATTTATTTTTGTCCTTCCAGAAACCCTATGCCTGCCAACTACCCGGTTGCACCAAGCGTTACACCGACCCATCCAGCTTGCGTAAGCATGTGAAAAATCATGCTCTACGCAATGCCAATGGTCATTTGGGACGTAGGAAATCCACCACTTCGGCTGGGGCTAAAAAGTCCACCACCACACCCAAGACTCGGCGTCATTCGGAATCATCGTTGGTGCAAACAAAAAACGGGGGTAAAAATAAAATCCCCTCTACACCAGTAATGCTCAGCAATAACACCACCACCCCCTCTACCAGCAGCACTACCACCCATAAGCCAAGAAGTAATAGCTGCAGTGAAATGTCTTTGGTCAATAACAATTATCACAATAAACAAACTGTGAATATATACAACAATTCCAATATGCAACAAGAGCAACAGCAGCAACAACAAAATATCCTTAACGACACACAATTGCAATTGGCCACAACAACGGCTAATCGCAATTCAATGAACTTTAATGAGTTGTCCAATTGTATTGTGACCATTGAACATGGAGAGGTGGCAGAGAATGGTAGCGGCAGTGGTGCCACAATGACCACATATAATTTGACTGCCACAAATCGTCGCAACAGCAGTGACAGTGTGATTAGCAATAGCAGTAATGGTAGCATTCTTAGCAATGCCAGTATCAATCAAATCAATGAATTCCAACAAATGTTGCAACAACAACACCATCATGCATCTGCAAATGAGAACCAAACAAATGTGGTAACAACAACAGCGGCATCGAACCCATGTGATATGTTACAAAGTGGCAGCAACAACCCCCAGGCCACAAATTCGTTTAGTGGCCAGGAGTCGCAAACAACAACAACAACAGCCACCGCCACCATTGAAGCAAATACTGGAAATTCCTGTGAGTCCAACTCTAATGATGAATCTGAATATGTTTCATTTGAGTATGTTAAAAAGTTGCTATGCGAAACCTTTGATTGTATGGGTGATGCCGATGCTGATGAGACTCCAGCTGGTGCTGCCGATGAAAGCAAAATATCAAACCTGGATGCCAGCACCACATCATTAACAGCAACAACTGATGTTGTTGTTACGGCAACCAGTGCGGCTACCATTGGGGCTAGTATCGTTGTCATTAGTGGCGATAAACAAAAGAACATAGCAACAACTACAACAACCGCATCTACTAACACACCAACAATGACAGCTAATGAAATTGTTGTTGGCAGCAATGAAAATGTACAAGCCGTAGTGTCGTCGAATGACATCGATGATGATCAGGAATTTGCCAAACATTTTGATATGGATTATTTGGAAAGTTTTATGTAAATTTTTCCGAAATTTTGGAAAATTCAAAAAAGACAACAACAACAAATGTAAATAATTTTAATTTAATTTTAAATTTAACTGTAAAACCAAAGACAAACCTAAGACATACAGCTACAGCTAAACACCAAAGACCTTTTTTAGAAATGTAAGGATTTTTTTTTGCAAATAATTTTTTATTTTTTACCAAAGACACATAAACAATTTTTAACCCCTAGACTGGTCCAAAGGGACCTCAATTCACCAACGATTTTCAACTATTTTTATTGAATTCAAAAGAGGTCCTTAGGGACCCGAATGAAGAAGAAGGATAGAACATTTGGAAAATCTCCAAGAAATCTCATTCGATATTTTGTTTATGAGATTCAATACTTTGTAAATATTTTGAAAAAAAGTAGAGTCTCAATTTAATATTAATTAAATAATCCCAAATGTGAAGTTTACAAACAACACTATCTCAAAAGTGGAATATTGCTTTACGAGAATTTTTATTCTTTACGATTAAAGAAAAGCCAAAAAAACTAGAAAAAGTGATAAAAAGTGCGACATTTGGAATACAGAAATGTAACACTTTTTTAAAAATTAATTAACAAATTAAACAAATAAGTTTCAAAATTTTTTTCCAAAGATTTAAATTTGTTTAAGAGTCGAATTTGAAAAATATATATATATTTTTTCGGAAAAATTTTGAAAAATAAAAAAACATAAACATAATTAAAAAAATATCTTTGTGAAAAATTAAAAAAAATATATATTTTTTTCATTTAAATTTAATTGTTTTAAAATATAAACATTATAGTTAAATAATGTATTGATTTTTTTTGCATTAATATACATTTTTCAAAATATTTAAAAAAATAATTTTCCGATTAAAAATGTAAATATTCCTATATAAAAAATAATTTAAAATATTTAAATAATATTTCCACAGAAATTTTGTCGCGTAATAGCCATATATGGTTTCTAAAAAAATGTAAATAATATAATACATTATTACAAATTTGTTGAAATATGACAAATTTAAACATGATTCTTCCATAAAAAAATATATTTTTTACATATAAAAATTATTTTATAAAATATTATTTACTTAACCGACATTTTTATAATTTTAATAATAATACTTTTTTTTATAATGTTATTAGAAATATTTTGTAAAAATATTTGCCAAATTCAAAATAATTAATTATAACTTTCATTTTTTAAGTTTTTTTTTATTTTTTAATATTTTATTGCAAGAAGAATATCTTTGAAATTTTTGCCAAATTCAAAAAAAAAGTTTAATAAGTTTTTATTTTCATTATTATTTTTTTTTAATTTTAAATTACTCCTTAAGGCCTAGTTAATAACACCACAAATATCGTTCCTAAAAACAACAACAAAAAACATTAACTTCTCAATGTTAAGCTTTATGACCAAAAACCAAAACCAAACAAAACCTTTGTGATTTATCACGTCTTCCCAAATCCCTGGCTCATGTATACATCTTTTTTTGTTGTTACAAGAACTATGATTTTTTTCTATATAATATTAAATATTTTAGTATATAACACATAACTCTCAAACACTGTGTGTTTGTGATTTTCTTTACCGAATAAGACATTTTGTATAAGCTTTAAAAATGAAAACTATATTATATATTGTATAAATACTCAATTCGAATTATTTTTTAAGTCAAACAAACCAGAAAACATTAGCTTGTTAGCGAAATTTGTTAATACTATTTTTTTTATATAACGAAAACGTATAATAATAATTATTGTATTTTAGATTTATATAGTAAACAACGAACGAATTACTTATATATTTTTATTAGTAAAATAAAACCGAAAAAAATACAAAAATTTAAAACAAAATGTTGTTTCTTTTTATACCCTTCACCACACTGTGGTACAGGGTATTATGTCTTTGTGCATAGGTTTGTAACAGGCAAAAGGAATCGAGATAGACCCATGGTTCCTTTTGAGAATAGGCATAAAATCACTTTCTGAGTCGATTTACGCATGTCCGTCCGTCTGTTCGTCCATGTATTTTTGTTAACAAAGTACAGGTCGCATTTATGATCCGATTTGGATGAAATTTGGCACAGTTCACTTATTTGGTCCAAGGGCGAACCCTATTGAAATTGAAAATCGGTTCAGATTTAGATATAGCTCCCATATATAGTTTCGTCCGATTTTATGTCAATGATGCAGCATATTGGGAGTTTGCCCAATATTTGTCCGATTGGGTGCACAGCGCACTGAATCAGGTCCATGCTTATGTTTTGTTAGTTTTATTAGAATCGGTTCAGATTTAGATACAGTTCCCATATATATAGTCGTCCGGTTTTATGTGAATGATGCACCAAACTCTCAATATTTTTGCATAGCGAATGCTAGTGAGAAAAAAATGACGCGTAATAATTTTCAATACTCCTAGTTCATATCTCAGCCCTAATTGCTTTGGAATTTTGAGATTCGCATATTCCAGTGATCGGCAATCATGCCCACAGTCGAAAACGAGGACTTTTATTTAATTACAAACAAGTGAAGAACTTGTTAAGTTCGTCCGGGCCGAGCTTTGGATACCCTGGCAGTTGCATGAATTGTAAGTTCCAATTCCACATATCCGAATGAGTTTGGGGAGAATGTAATAAAAAATGTGTGGGATATTTATATAGATGATATCAAACTCAAATAAACCTGTGCAAACAGTATTTTCCAATGATATCTTGGAAACCTTTAATGACATTGAAATTTATTTGAAATGTAGTTTCCAACCCTACGAAGAACTATATATTATACTGCTAGGGCATATGACGTAATGAATAATGCGCCGGATCAGAACCAAAAAGTGGACCTGAATAGACGACGTTGCACAGTGTCACGACCGCGGCCAAAAAGGTCAAAACAAACAATTAGAATAAATATGTAATTTTATATCGATATGTCGAGTAGTTTTGTCTCTACAAAGGTTCAAATCTGATATTTATTTATAAACTGATTTTTTACCATATTTTCGTAAAGTGGGTGTGTTTTTCTGATGCTCTAATATTTGAATATTCAAATTAATGGTTATTATAAAAGTCTTTATTTTGGTTGCTGTGGATGTAAAAACTAGGATTCACTTTAGTTTGTATGTATATAAATATCATATGGTGTATACAGTCGTCCACACTTGCAGTACTTAGTTCATCAAATTTGTAAAACAAATTTTGAAATTAGTGGAGCAAAAAAAAAAGTTTAAAAAAGGTTAGCTCTAATTTTTTTTATTTGAGTGGTGAAAAGTGTGTTATTTAAGGAATAAAAAAAATTAGCTGCGGAGTCCTGCGGTCCTAAGAGTTATTTAACTTTTTTGGTGACCACCATATGAAAAAATATGGCATATTCACGAAATGGTTAGAAGCGAGTGGTCAAATATGTTATGTATACAATTAAATAAGTTATTGAGGGTAAAATAGGAAGGAGAAAATGGATTCAGAACATAGTAATAATACTATATTTTACATAAAATGTGCAATTTAGTGGTAAAAACGTTATTAGAAGCGGAGATATGGGAGAATTTGTTTTAAAATATAGCTTTTAAATAAATTTTCAGTCAGTTTGAAGATTATACTTATTTATCAGATCATTTGAGACATAACCTTATAATCTAAATTTAGAGGCCACACATGAATTACCTTTGTGGAAAGTTCATACAGAAAAATTTAGTTCATGGCATGGGATACGCAAAGTGCAGTACAATACCTTTTGAGCGACTTTAACAAGATGCTAACAAGTCATGCCAACAAATAATTAGTAGCAGCCCGAACTTTTGTTAAAGCCGAGTTTAATAAGGATTTTATTTAGTATTTTTGATAACAATCCGACCTTGTAATATCCTTAAACAGCCATAAAGTTAAGGCCCGAGATTATAACGTGGATGATACTAACTCATACATTTGGGAAGACAATATTATATATACATATATATCAGGTGTGTGTTTTGAAAATGTTGTGAATGATAAAAAAGTAATTTATTAGTTATTAAAGGATATCAAATATTTTTTATATTATAATAAAAATAACAAAAAAAAAAAAACTATTATACTTAATTTAGCTGCATATAACGATTTTATAGTACAGAAAGTTAAATTTTTAGGGAATTTTGGTGTGGTAGGTGCCTGAAATATGAGCCAACAACTAAATTACAACACCTATTACTGCCCTCGCCCAAATTTAATGTAATTTGGACGAAGACATGAAAATTTTCGTGAAATTTGGATGAATATAAACAATTTATAGGTCCAAAAAGCGGATTTTTCAAGAACCTTTGTATGGGAGGTATATCAAATCTTGGTCCGGTCTACCCAGTTTTTGATCCGTTGCTTTATAGGCGTAAGTAAATGTAAATTGCCAATTTTAACTGAATTTGGTTGAATATTAAAGATTTTGTAGCCCAAAATAGTAAAATTTTCAAGACCCTTTGTATGGGAGGTATATCAAATTTTGGTCCTATCTACCCAGTTTTTGGTCAGTTGCTTTATAGGCCTAATTAATTGTAAATTGCCAATTTTCATTGAATTTGTTTGAATATTAAAGATTTTATAGGCCAAAAAGCGTGACATTCTCAAGACCCATTATATGGGAGGTATACCAAATCTTTGTCCGACCTATCCAACTTTTTGTCAGTTGCTCTTTAGGCCAATAATAAGCACATGTACCAAATTTCTTTAACTTACGATAACTCCTTCTATTTTTGGCCGCAGTTTAAATTTGGATGAATATAAACAATTTATAGGTCCAAAAAGCGGATTTTTCAAGACCCTTTGTATGGGAGGTATATCAAATCTTGGTCCGGTCTACCCAGTTTTTGATCCGTTGCTTTATAGGCGTAAGTAAATGTAAATTGCCAATTTTACTGAATTTGGTTATATTAAAGATTTTGTAGCCCAAAATAGTAAAATTTTCAAGACCCTTTGTATGGGAGGTATATCAAATCTTGGTACGATCTACCCAGTTTTTTGTCAGTTGCTTTATAGG